CCCCAAAACCCCAAAACCCCAAAACCCCATTTTTTCCATGAATTATTGAACAAAATAGATTATAATCATGGGTGGAGGTCCGATTTGAGGCTGCTGAGAAGAAGAGAGAGTTCAGATAAGGCAAGGACAAGAAGGATATTATGTATTTGAGAAAGGTGATTTGTAGGGGATCAGTAGGCGGTTTGAGGGGGTTTGGGAGGGATGGGGGTTTGAGGGGAGGAAGGAGGTTTGCAGGAAAATTTAGAAGGAGAAGGGTCGTTTTGGGGTGATATGTAGAGATTGTGGAATTTAGGGTGGTGATTGAGAAACGGAGGTTTGAGTTATTGTATTGGCTTTATGGTATGGAAATTATCTGATTTATTGATTTTTGATATTTTTTTGGTTAATATGACTTTGCTGGGGTTTGTTTATAAATTTCCCACTCTTTAATAATTATCACTTTTTCTTATACAAGAATGAAGATAAAGATGTCTAATATCTCTGTAAATGCTTTCAAGCTTGTATTTTTGATTCTTTATATAGGAAAAATGTTTTCAAAATATGAGCAAATATCATTGGTACTTACACTTTAACCTTTATAGACCCATGAAGACATCCTTCTTCCCTGTGAGAGGAAGCATTATGAAATAAAACAATTCAAAGGCACCCAATATCCCATTCTGAACCCAGAAGGAGAACAAATCGCCAAGCAAGAAATTTTTGACATTATTTGTGAGATTAAAAATAAATAGAAATGAGCTCAGAAATTTTAAGGTACCACTCCTAAATTCTAATCTAAGCCGACACCAAAACTACCTGAATTAGTGTCTTAATAGAGTTTTCACTGAGTTTGTACGGAGTTTTTGGGTGGAATTTAAGGTGAGATTTAGAGTAAGGATAGACAGATAGTGGGGAAATTGAGAAGGCAGGTGAAGATGTTGATTGAGGAGAAGGATAGGAAGGTGCAAGTGCTGGACACGGCTGTTAGTGTGAGAGAGGTGTATAATTTCTCTTTCTATTCTTACTCTATCATTAGCGGACTAATTCATCAAGTATAGATCAAGCAGTCTCTAATCGTCAAACCAAATCTACCAAAACCGTTAAAAGTAGTAAAAGCATCTCCTTCTCTACAAGAATGGCTGGAAGCTAACCAGGAAGGCGACTCAGAGATGATCATAAAAAGCTTGCCTTCATACAATGAACGAGGCATTACGAAGATGCTTCTCCAACTAGACACCTCTGAAGGATTCTCTTTCTATAAAAAGCTAATCAATGCATTTATCAGTCACAAATGGATTCTTCCAGAGTCGATGATTCTTCAGATTGTAGGAATAGATGAAACCAATCTTGAGAAGGTATGAGCATTGCTATCATGACATTTGCCTGAAGTTCTGGAGAAGCTTGATTTAACTTGTCGAGAAGACTCCCCTCAATCCTTTCGATGTATTCTTAAGACGTTGGATAGCCCTAAATACCTTAGAATCAAATCTGTGAAATTAGGAGGCTTCACGTTTAGCGCTAGGAGGTATGAAGACTCAACTGAAGGAGAGAACCTTGCTAGAGATACTATCCAGTTCTTCGGAAGTATTTCAGAGAGACTTGAGTTCTCTGACTGTGTTTTCCAATGAGAAGATTTCAAGCTGAGGGAAAATATTGAATATATTGTCATGGAGATGGTCTTTACTAGGTGCAGCTTTATGAATAAGAGAAAGAAGACAAAGACTTCAATATTGACAATAATGAAAGCATTTGATAATGGCAAACTTGGTAAAAGTCTGGAATCGATAATAATCACAGATGAGACTCTTACTGTAGGAGAGAGTGATATAAAGAGATGCATTAGCTGGAGATCAGATGTTGTGGTTCATAAAGATTATTAGTTGGCAACTTGATTTTTATTCCGATTTTTAAAATGAGGTGGAGTAGAAGTGTGTAGATTATAGTTTTCTTTCCATAATTTTTGGTTATTTAATTCAGTTATTATACTCTGCAAGTATTAAGATAATCCAAAAAGTTCATTTGCATAATTCACTTAGCTTTCATCATTCTCGTTAACTTTCTTTACTAATATCTAAAACTCCAATACAAAATTTTCTAACCGGGGTTTTGGGGTTTTGGGGTTTTGGGGTTTTGGGG